GCCGGCTGCTTGCAGGTTAGACCCGATCAGGTAAAACGGTGAGTCCCTGAATATTATGACCATTCAAGGAAATCCTTAAATTGTCATGTAATTCTTAATTTTGTTAGAAAAAAAGTCTCACGAGCGAGAGCTTGGGAGACTGGTATAAACCACATTGGTTCTGCATAGACATTCTAGAACATGCGTACACCTAACTTTTTGAGCTTTGGGTCATGTCTAAGATGATAATTCACCATTTTCACATTGCAGATAAATCAGAAAGCAAGGAAAGGCCCCCTGGGCTCTTTAAAGAACTTGAAGACATTGTCCTTGGCCTTAGGTGAAAACAATATTGAAGATGTCTGGTGTTTCAGTAAAATCCTAAAATAAAACATATAAATGTGAGGATGTCTACATTGTCTGGGCAGAGGATTGACCTCTTTGCAGTCAGGGATTCCACTCCTGCTGGTTTAGAGGTGAAATGAGGACTAAGGCTGGTTCACTATGAGCCAAGCAGCAGAGATGTCACATTTCTACAGTTTGTGTTCTGCCTGTTCAACGGCTGTTTCCAAAGCTGCTCCTGCACTCTCCCTGACTGATTGATTAGGTTCCACCATGATTACAGAGCACCGTGAATGCTGACTTGAGGCTCTCCATTCACCTGATTGTGTGTTTGAGTGAGAGAGAGAGAGAGCTATAGACATGGAAAAACAAAGTACAACCACGGTATCAGACTGTCAAATTCTCTTTAGGTTCCCGATGAGGGAAAAGCCAAAGTTCCCTGCTGTGCACAACAACATCTTGCTCTTGTTAGAAACGGAAGTGCCAGGCACAACGAGGTAGTGTCTTATTGGCAATTAATGCGTGGTTTACATGTGTGGTGGACCATGAGGGGGATCTGTACAGATCAGAGATCAGCTATGATCTGTTACACCAGATGATATGTTAAATGATATGTTTGTATATTTTCTAACCAGCTTCCCTTGTACAAATAGAGAACCTATTATTTTGAGCAAAGATGTTTCTGTTCTACGAGCTAATTTGTGTCAAGTTTACTGTGGCCTTAAAAGGACCCTTTTCTATTAAAGGAACACACTTCTCTGAGGAAAAACATTTAAAAAGGTTGAAATCTCTGTAACAGAGGTCGAGCTACCGACCAACTCGGTCTGTGTTATGGTTCAAGCTCCACAATCTATGGATCCCCACCCCATGCCCCTCGGGCTGTCACAGAACTGACTTGGTCAAACCTCAGGTGGTTTATGAGCCACAGACATGCTCCAAATACAGTGGTGTGACAAAGTGTTTGCCCCCTTACTGATTTCTTATCTTTTTGCATGTTTGTCACACTGTAATGTTTCAGATCATCAAACAAATTTAAATATTAGTCAACGATAACACAAGTAAACACATCATGCAGTTTTTAAATGAAGGTTTTTATTATTAAGGGAAAACAAAATCCAAAACTATATAGCCCTGTGTGAACAAGTGTTTGCCCCCCTGTCAAAACACTGGTTTATCGCACCTGAGTTCAATTTCTCTAGCCACACCCAGGCCTGATTACTGCCACACCTGTTCGCAATCAAGAAATCACTTAAATAGGACCTGCCTGACAAAGTGAAGTAGACCAAAAGATCCTCAAAAGCTAGACATCATGCCGAGATCCAAAGAAATTCAAAACCAAATGAGAAAGAGAATAATTGAGCTCTATCAGTTTGGAAAAGGTTATAAAGCCATTTCTAAAGCTTTGGGACTGCAGCGAACCACAGTGAGAGCCATTATCCACAAATGGCGAAAACATGGAACAGTGGAGAACCTTCCCAGGAGTGGCCGGCCGACCAAAATTACCCCAAGAGCGCAGCGACAACTCATCCAAGAGGTCACAAAAGACCCCACAACAACATCCAAAGAACTGCAGGCCTCACTTGCCTCAGTTAAGGTGAGTGTTCATGACTCCACCATAAGAAAGAGACTGGGCAAAAATGGTTTGCATGGCAGAGTTCCAAGATGAAAACCACTGCTGAGCCAAAAGAACATAAAGGGCCGTCTCAGTTTTGCCAGAAAACATCTTGATGATCCCCAAGACTTTTGGGATAATACTCTGTGGACAGACGAGACAAAAGTTGAACTTTTTGGAAGGTGTGTGTCCCATTATGTGTGGCGTAAAAGTAACACCGCATTTCAGAAAAAGAACATCATACCAACAGTAAAATATGGTGGTGGTAGTGTGATGGTCTGGGGCTGTTTTGCTGCTTCAGGCCCTGGAAGACTTGCTGTGATAAATGGAACCCTGAATTCTGCTGTGTACCAAAATATCCTGAAGGAGAATGTCCGGCCATCCGTTTGTGACCTCAAGCTGAAGCGAACTTGGGTTCTGCAGCAGGACAATGATCCAAAGCACACCAGCAAGTCCACTTCTGAATGGCTGAAGGAAAAACAAAATGAAGACTTTGGAGTGGCCTAGTCAAAGTCCTGACCTGAATCCAATTGAGATGGTGTGGCATGACCTTAAAAAGGCAGTTCATGCCCGAAAACCTTCCAATGTGGCTGACTTACAACAATTTTTCAAAGATGAGTGGGCCAAAATTCCTCCACAGCGCTGTGGCAGACTCATGGCAAGTTATCGAAAACGCTTGATTGCAGTTGTTGCTGCTAAGGGTGGCCCAACCAGTTATTAGGTTTAGGGGGCAAACACTTATTCACACAGGGCTTTGTAGTTTTGGATTTTGTTTTCCCTTAATAATAAAAACCTTCATTTAAAAACTGCATGATGTGTTTACTTGTGTTATCGTTGACTAATATTTAAATTTGTTTGATGATCTGAAACATTACAGTGTGACAAACATGCAAAAAGATAAGAAATCAGTAAGGGGGCAAATACTTTTTCACACCACTGTATATATATATATTAGTTAAATTATTTCAAGGTCTTTCAGATTTGAATAAATGTATTAAACTGATGACAGAATACTGAGTAGTTTTTTCGCAGGTCTCTGTGAAATGATATGAAACTCAAACATGTAATTATAAGTGTGTACAGTTGTTTGAACATAATTGTAAATTGTTTTAAAAATGTACAGCTAGCTGTGTTTTTTTTTTTAAATATGTAATTAAAGTATAATTGAAGGAGTAAAACCTGCCTGTATTATGTGAATGTTGTTGCTACCTTTTTGTCTGGTTTTTGTACATTTCCTTTTAATTTTTTTAGTACTAAAGCTTGCAAAATATCAGTGAAGGACAAAAACTGGAAGCAGCACTTTGCTTTAATTTTGTTGACAAATTAACTGCAAAGCTTTTCATTAATGTAGAGAACTATATTCATCCTCTGAAGCACCTAATGTACACAACATCTTATTGTAACTTAAGTTGAAATGTGCTGCTACTTCAAACCTGCCAAATATTTTAACATACTTCTAACATTTTTATTACTACTTTGGGGCCAAATGTTTTCCCACCTGATCACAATTATTTGTTTTAGTTTACGCAGGGGCCATAGTTACTGCATGCAGAGTTCAAGTTTTAACACCTGTTTTATGCTTCATTCATGTGTTTTACACAACTCAATCAAATAAATAATTTGATCAATATACACAAACATTGGTTCGCTTTAAACTCATATATTAAGGTGATAGAAACAGAATTTTTCCAAAAATTCCATAAGCATAAAAGTGGGACTCAGTTGATAATACACAATTACATGTACCAACGTATAGGGGCATTGGTATGGGAGCTCAGTTTATCTATTATTTGTTCCCAGAGAGGAAGGTGTCAGGCCATTCCATCATAAATCTTCAGAGCCCAACATTATGTAAACTCTTAACCTTTTCTTAAAACAAAGCATCCCTGAACCCTCTCCTCACCCAAGCAAAGAGTAGTTATGTGGCTTGACACAGCATCTTGTAGAAAGAAATTCTTGATAAAATAATATAGTGCTATGTTATGCATTTGCAAAACTGTTTAAAAGATTGTTTAATCTGCTTGACCTTTATAATGGCTTGACCTGTGCAATAGAAATGCTGTGTGTGAGGACGTGTCAAAGTGCAGGGATTCAGAACAACAGGAAGTTGCACAGATGCAGATTGAGATGACTAAACTGCAAGAAGAGTGTGAGTGGGTATAAGGCCTTATTGTTTTGGCTTTAAATTATCAACATTTATCAACATTATATGAAATGCTTGGCCTTCTATGATTGACAGTATAATCTGCATTAGCAAATACAGTATATGAGATATATGCTAACCTTTATCTTACAAGGAGATAATTTGGTGTAGTTTTTTTTATTCTCACTGTCGAGTTGAATCAAACACGATTCAAATCCTCAATACTAAACAAATAAAACTAAGACAATAAACATAATGTAAAGGTTTTACAACACAGACCTACTGTATGTGGATGACGTGTACTGTAAACCCAGCCTTTGATTAGTCATTTCAACAAAGATATCAGAAGATAAACATAAGACTAACACTCCCAGCCACAACTTCCTACTTTTGTAATCAGCTTTAGAATTCAAGTGAACCTGAAAGGGAAGTCAATGTGTCATTCGCCCACCTGCCTACATATGTGCATATGTGATTGTTGTCCTTTTCTAACTCTAACCTGAAACTTGATCAGTTTTTAGTTTCATCTAAAAAACAACAACAACAACAACAAAAAACAGACATAAAATCTTTAAATGTTTGGGATGATGCTCCTTTGTGGCCATGAACCAAGCTGCTGAGAGATCAGGGTCTGAAAAGTGTAGTTCAGAGGGGCCTTTTTGCTTTTCAGTTAGTTTTTCCCTTGTCTGTTCACCTTGACAGTGGGGGAAGTTGTGCCCGTTTCTGCTGTATCTGGTAATAAAATCAAAACAGATAAACACAATATTGAGCTTTTTGATTTGCTGGATTCTTCTACAAAACGTTTAGTAATGAAAAATGTTTATTTAAATATTACAAGAACAACATAAAGACAGATACTAAGTGCATCTTCCCATGACAGGTTAAGTAGGATTATATAAATACAGCAGAAAGAAGAGGGTTCGTCCTGAAACTCCATTTTACATGTTGAGAAAGTCCTGGAAAAACATAAAAATAAAATGACAAGAGTTATGTTTTCATCTCAGTGATCAAAGTGATGCAAACACAGTGTGAATTAATAATAATAGTAACAAGATGACTGTAACATCAAATCATATTTGATCTCTCAGTGGTGTTTATTCTCCACTGTACCCAACTATAAACTGGGTCCAGGGTATCAGCCTCAGTCACCTTCATGCAGCCTGGGGAAGGTGAGCCGTTTGTCAGCGTTTGCCCTCGTTTCTGCTCTCTGTGTTTCATGTAGTCACGAGCCAGCGAGTCAGCATCATCCTGACTGAAGTGCAGGGTAAAAGAAAGAAAAGCTCAAGTCATACTTTAGAAAAGGGAACATGCAGGCTTTGTTTTGCTCTCTCATTGTCAAAGTTCCTCAGATACCGGTCTGCTTTTTAAAACTAACAAATTACTTGAACAGATTCAACAGAAGATTTGGATTCCACACATGGATTCAGATCCAATAAAATCCTATCGAACCAATGATGTTCACATGGAGCACAGAAATCTGTCCATTATATGCCTGTTTCTATGACTGCAGCCTTAACAGACACATTGTCAATCAGAGAGGAAATCAAACAGTACCAGTTCTGGCTGACCAGGTAGTCCACCAAGTCTTTCACCTGGTTGGGCCGACCACTTGACACTATGAGCTGCTTCAGGTGCTCGAAGTGTTTGGTCTTGAGCAGTCTGTGGTGTTGCCTGCTTTCGCTGATGAAAGTTAACACAGACTCCCTGATCTGAAGGGTCATAAAAGGTCATGATATCAGGTCATTATTCAATACAACTGAAACAAAAAGAAATGGTGGCAATTTAACTAGGAAATGTATTTCTGAGCACCTACACTTACTTTTTGTTTATTGCAACACAGCAAACCCTTCCACATGAAGCATGTCTATTTATACTGCATATTTGGTAACTAAGACCCTTTTGACTGGTCCCTTTTAAACAAAGACCACACCTTCAACATCTTCACACCATCAGATCAACCAATCATGTTTCCTGTTTAACATCATTACCAGTGCAAAAATGTTATACACACTGCATATGCTTGGCAACTTTTTTAGTTATAGGAACTGTTACAAAAACCCCAGTGTAGATTAAAAAAAAGTTACTGATTACATTTAATTAAAAATGTGCTTATGACTGAAATTCTGCTGATGTTTGAAAGTGTAGAAATACTGAGACAGGTGAAGTTTTAGGCAAAATACAAGTTTGTAAAGTAGCTAAAGCAGTTAAAATGGAGGTACTGAGTGAAATCATAAAAACAGTTGTTTGAAGAGTAAAAGATGAAAGCAGCTAAAATGGAGGTTCTTGTATAAGTGGCACAAGGAGCTGTAATGCATATCTAACCTAAATGAACTTCTGACCTGTGAGGGGATTCCAGCCAATTCCCCAGTGTTCATAAGCTCTTCTGTCTGTTCAAGGATGGCGACTGGGTTACAGACGGACAGAAAGCCCTGAAACAAGCAAGAAACAGTGATGATCATGACCATGTTACTGTGATTACAGCCTTCTCACGTTTAGATCTGACTCACCTGGATCTGCTGAGCTTTTTTACTGGCACAGGGGATGAGAAGGAGAGTTCCCAGGGCAAACGCATGCAGATTGAACTGTGCAAAACGATTGGCAATTCCAATCAAGTCCAGATTCAACAGGAAAGGGCATCTAGTAGGGAACAACGATGAGTGGCATGACCGTCTGAATGAATATGACATGTTTCAGGTCACCACTGCCGTATTCCACACACAACTCTAACATTTAGTAAATCAAACCTGAGTGCATGAAATACATAGGAGGTGGCTTGTATTTATTTGTGTACTTTACAGGAACCCTACTCTGCAACAATAGAAAAGAGTTCTATCTATAAACACATACAATGAATGTTCATATTCCAAGACTAGTAGGCCATAAGTTTACATTCTACTGGGAGGTTCTAGCATGAGGAAACATGAGGAAAGCGTACTTGAGGAGGAGAACAAAGGTCCTGTAGAATGTCGCCTGCTGATCAGGACTCAGAGGAACAGAAGCTGTCAACATAAAAACATGTCAGACATCATGAGTATTCAAGAGCCATACTGACCACAGCAAATGGATATTATCAAAAGAGGCTTCAGAAAACAAATCGGTTAGTGAATTTACTGCTAACACCATTTCACCTGTATTATTAGCTCTCTTTGTACAGAAGCCTAAACAATGCTCTTACAAAAACATTTAAAAGTCTTAGCAAATTAAACAAACAGCTTCTCATATTCTGCATGATCAAAGGAATAGTTTGGGATTTTTCAATTTGGTGTTAAAAGAATACTGATGTATCCCTACGTACATGATTTTAGGTCTTAGCTGTTCTCTTTTCCTACTCCTTTCCTATTGCTATTTTAAATCCAGTACCTGAGACAAAGGGGGCCAGTATCATGCTCCTCCAGGTCCTGGAGAAGCTAGGAATCTGGGGAGAAAATAAAATAGATACAAGAAAAATAAAAAAATTAATTCCACTCTCGCCATCTCTTTTCGCCATTTTCATTGAACCTCTAGCAGCGGCAATACGACAGAATAACAGCATCAAAGGAATACAAGACACTAACTCACAACATAAAATAAATAAACAATAAAATTAGTTTCTATGCAGATGATTTTTTATTATATTTACAGGACCACTACAGTTCATTACGAGAAGCTTTCTCCATTATTAATTTCTCCAGTACCAACAGTTAAAATCCATAATTAAATCAAAGACCAATATAATCAACAACCCACTGCAACTTTACATGCTAGCTGAGGAGATAATGAAGCTTACAGACTCAAAGAAGATATCTAAACCTTATAAACTAAATGTCAAATATAGATACAACAGTAACAATACCAATGACTAAATGGGAAAAGGATTTGTTGCTCCCCACCAGCTTCAACTTCTGGACTGGGATCTGTAATAATATCTCCTCCATGACTACCAATATAAACTTACAGCTTACGTATACAATAGAAGACCATTCACAGGACTCATATCACAGAAGGTAAAATGCTTAAAATGGGTTTCATACTGACACAGATACTTGTTCACAGTGCACTCTGGGTTGCACCAATGATTACTTCCATGCTACTTGGACCTGTCAATCCGTTTACTCCCTCTGGGTAGCGGTGATAGAGAAACTCTCCACCAACTTGAGCTGTAGAATCCCTCCATCTCCGACACTCTGCCTGCTCGGTAATATCACAGAAGTCAACCCTGTACTAATTAAATATAAAAACCCACTTCTTATCTCTGACTATCACCAAGAAAACAGTCTTTCTAAACTGGAAATCTAAAAGCTCATTACACATCAACCACTGGACCAACCTCTCATAGAATACATCACACTAGAGAAAATATAACTTTTACTGACACTTGGAATCCGTTTCTAACCACTTAGACATAGACCAGATAGCAGGGGCTGAGGCCGTATTTATATGACTGAAATTGCTTTATTATTATTTTTTTCTTTAATTGTTATTTTATTATTACAATCATCCCTTTTCTATCAAACTGTCTTATTTACCCATTCATCTTTCTCCACCATCAACAAACCAGGAGTTGTATACAGTTGTGTTAGGGGATACTCTGCCCTGTCCTCAGCAGCTGGGTCATGCAATCTGGGGTCACTCTTGGGGGTTTCTCTGGGGGGCACAGCATAGGGCACAAAGGCCAGGTCACCGTTTCATTTCCATTATTTGCATATAGCATCACTGGACTGCTGACACCCTCTTAGACAAGCTCCCTTCTCAGGGTCTGGGAGCTGTTTAGGAGTGGAACACACCAGACATGGGGGTCAATAACAAACCAGGAGTTGTATACAGTTGTGTTAGGGGATACTCTGCCCTGTCCTCAGCAGCTGGGTCATGCAATCTGGGGTCACTCTTGGGGGTTTCTCTGGGGGGCACAGCATAGGGCAC